CGCCGCACAGGCCGCCAATCGTAGGCCACGTCTACACGTGTGCGTGACCTCGCCCTTTCATGTGTGCCGCGGTGCGCGTGTGTGCGTGCGGGGCGTACGCTCCGGCTACCGGCTGCACAAAGAGTTCCCATATCTTTTATGTTCTTAGATCCTTATCTCGCGGTTTCTTATTTTACATTTAAGATGGTGGTCGAATTAACGGTCGGCCCCATAAACACGCTATAACAAACTTTAATGTGCCCGTAATACAAAATAATCTGTGATTTTTATTACTCATCGGCACTAATAGGCTGTTATAGATACCGATAGGGATCTTCAAGTTTTTTTTTTAACTTAAAATTCATGAATTTACTCGATTGAATTGTTAATTGATGTTGTGTTGTAATCTACCACTTTCATAGACATTAAGATTTGTTCCGTTTTAAATTCACAATTATCCTAAATACTAGTTATAAATGAGTTCCATATCCGGATTAGCATACTGGTCGTAAATGCTCTCTAATAAATCTTTAAAAAGCAATGACACCAAGAGGTTAATTACATTAACCAGGAATTGTTAAACTTAGCTTTTACATTGTCCATCAGATTAGTAAAATTTTTTATGCTAATTCTTTATCGTTGAAGTCTTATATAAGAACTTATTTACAGGCTTAACAAAAGTTTAAAAGATTTTTAGTAGAAAATGTAGAGTTCAAATTATACCTAATTGCAAGATAAAAAAAAACTAAAACAATGAATGTACAAATGTTTGTTTATGTATTATAACTAGCAACTAGCAAACAAATTAAAAATATAAAAAAGAAGTAATTATAACATTCGAAAGGCGGGAAGCCGCGAAAATATCAAAGGAAATACGTGTTCCACGTTCGAAATTCAGCGAGAATAAAAGACCGTTTTGCCGCCAAAATTCGATTAAGGCCGTGGAGTGGGACAAAGGAAGTCGTTTATTTGGGGGGCGGTTTTAAATTGATTTGAGAAGGGGGCGTGGGAGCGGGTGACACAGGGCACGCTGTTTACAGACGTTTTTCATTTTCAGGGAACACTTTTGTAGAGTAAGAGATATTTGCGACTACAGTCGATCCTGGATATGCGAGAGTCGAATAGACCGTGATATTTTTACCCGAGTTTTCTAGCTTATGGAGGTTGTCCTTCGGGACCGGACAAGGAGTCTCGTTTAAAGAGGTTTCTAGCTTATCCAACTTCGTCTGTATTTTATTTACTCTTTGTACAGACAAAGAGTAAATAAAATACAGACGAAGAACGTTATTACGGGACAATAAAGAACTCTACCACAGGGTAGAGTTCTTTATTGTCCCGTAATAACGCATACACACAAAAACATATTTTCTTTACTGTTCGAAAAACCAGGGAACAAATATCTTTATACAGGAGTTTTTACAGTCGAAATCCAAAGTTATAACCTAATTCTTATCATAATCTAACGATTCAATTTCTTATTAAAGTCGTAACATTTAGTCGTGGTTTTATTCCTCTCTATTTTACAACATTGAATACCTACGTATTCACAACATTTCTGCTTCATGCAACGTATTGCAAACCAATGCTCTTAATGGCAGTAAAAAGCATATACGGTTAGTTTTTACTCTTGATTACACGTAATATTAGCAATAGCATTAAAATAGCATAGCGCAACAGCTAACGATAATCGACATTTTGCCTGTTTCTAACGAAAGGATAGAACACATCTACATTTGCTTTTCCACGTATTTTTCTTTTCTTTAGAAAATATATCAACAATTCCTTAACTTTTTCAATTGATAGAATGCAATGGACATGCAAAAACACGCTTACATGCCAACTTTTCTACATATGTTATGAAAAAATCATACTTCTTATATTATAAATAAGAATGTTTGGATAGATGGATGGATGTTTGTTTAAAGGTACCTCGAGAATGGCTTAATCTCGATGAAATTTGACACAGATGTAGAACATAGTCTGGAAGAACACATAGGCTACTTATTAAGTTTTTAATTCCGCGCTACAAAGTCGCGGGCGACAGCTAGTTAGTCTTTAAATTATCACATATCTCATGGTGTTATGTTGTGTATTCAAAACACTTTTAATTATTTCCAAAACATTGTATTTTATCAACATAAAATACCAAACAAACTGTTAAAATATCCGTATCACTTTCGCTCCACACTTGATCGTTTTCCCAACGCCTAAAGCAAAGTACTCGAAGAGGTGGTGTTTACATAAGTCGTGAAACAGAGGGCGCTACGAGTACTCGATGCCCGGACGTTTTACCCTGGAGTGTTTGTCAAGGCTTTAGATCGCTAAGGGATGCTAAGGGCTACTAGCCCCTTTGATACTTCGATAAGACAATTAGCAAACAAGTTCTCACGTCTCTTGTATGGTAAAGAATCTTAATTGTGATTGGTCTATCGAAACACTAGTATAAAATTATTGTTATAAATATGAAACAAATGAAGGATGACAATATGTCTTCATTCAGGTGGTCCGCGGTCCCCCATTGGAAAATTTATGGAGTATGTTATTGTTTCTGACGAAAAAAAATTCAACTCTTACTTAAACCAAGAACTTCAAACGTGTTCGTATAACAAGCTGGAATTATTTGGAATCGTACAAGAAATATTAGTAAATTAACAAGAAAAAATGTTAATATTAAAAAAAAGAAAACAACATCTTACTAACTATATATGCAAATGTTTAGATGGATATTTGTTAGAAGGTATCTCCGGAACGGCTCAAGGGATCTTCATGAAATCTGGCACAGTAGTAGGATATAGTCTGGTAGAACAAATAGATTAAGCTACCATGAATACATCTATTAAAATTATCTCTTAATTGAAAAATAACTACTGTAAGCGCTTGTAACAAACAACATTTTACTTTTGCAAAAGTAAAAAAAAATCCCGAATGTATTTTTTTGGTGGAATTGCCTTTCTAAGTTAAGAAGTCACCGTTGGGTAATTTAGAATGTTTCGGCAGCTGCTTTGAACTTATAATGAAAGCCTCCCTCTGCCCTCGTTGTGACTTGCACTCTTGTAGGAAGCGCAAGTCAGGAGTGACCGGAAAGTTACAGAAATAAGTCAACTTTCTTTGATAACTTAACGAATCCATATTACATTTATATTTCTCATGGTTTTTGTTTTTTTTTGCTATTCAAAAGTATAAGTAGGGAAAAAAGTTTTTAGTTTTTCATAGCTACTACTAATACTAGTTTTTTTTTACTATACGAGACAAATATTAAATTAAAAAAAGCTATCTCAATACGAATTAACAACAATTATAGTTAACAGTATAGTATTTTGCTTATAAATTGCATCAATATACCTAAACAGAACAAATTTAGTTACGGTGAATATAAATCTAAAACATAAGAATCTATTTCCACTTGACTAGCCGTGCAGCTGCACCATTATAAGATGAATCCACGATTCTATAAACGGCGGCCGTGGTTAAAATCGCGCAGCCATCCTCTTAGTGGAAATTGGTTTTAAAACAGACCGGCTGAGAGCCTGAGGCTACTTCAGTGTAACATCTGTCAAGGGGTAACTCTATCTGTTCGTTCAACGTGATAGTTTCATGCATAACATTAAATTTGAATTGTTACTTTTTTATTACGGTTTATGAATGAAATTTTATAATATGATTGTTGGAACTTTTCTGGAATATAAACCGGTTTGAGAATTTTGATATGATTGACGATTTACGATTAAACGAGATCTTTGATAGTGAAAAATGTGGTAAAAAAAGATAATTCACACAAAGGTACACCCATTTTCCCTTAAGATAATAATTTCTGTTGCCTTTCGGAGTTACTTTAAATAGGCAATTGGTTTTTAACCTGCGTATTTAGATGACAAAACTTATAAGTCGATTTATAAAACTTGATTAATAAAATATAAATAATTGCAGGAGTAATGTTTTAATTATAATAACTCTATAAAAATAGATGAAATATTAAAAGCTTGATATCATAAAGTTTATATTGCGATTAGAACAAGAGCGCTCAAGTAGCCCCTTAGGTCTGTCGCAAATATTTTATACTGCCGCGGCCCCAATGTTTATACGGTAACGTTGTATTCCCCTACCATATATTCTCACTCGTTACTCGAACGATGATAGCTAGATGAGACTAAAAGTATAATATTGAAACTTAAAATTATTCGATCGAGATTTAATTGTTTATTTTGCAAAATGTTGCCAATAATTCACACATTCGCGTTGCATTTTCTTTCTTATTTTACAATCAAGCATAAAATGTAACCCATTACGCGTAACTGTAACCAATTTTCATCCAACCGTACCCAAAGAAGTTTAACGTTAAAAAAACTAGAATCGATTCGTAATACTTAACTGTCGAACTCAGAATGTTAATCTAAGGAAGATCCTTAAAGTAGATTTTTCAAAGTTATTCCACATTAAGGTTCCACTTAACTCTCTGAGTGCGGTTCTCTAAGTAAATAAAGTCGAATTTGTGCGAAAACAATGAGTAGGGGCGTTGTACTTCCCCATATCAACCATAAGTAATTGTTTTTGCGGCTAATTTTTTCTCTTCCAATTCTTTTGGGGGAGTCGCTTTCTAAAATTGCATTTTTATTGTGTTAGGCGCGTGAAGGGTCGAGCGATTGCTTTTTGATAAGTCAATTTTTAGACATAGGGATGGGCTGATCTTGGTACGTTATCTCGTCTTCTTTCAAGTATTATTAAGTTTTCATTATGTCAATAAAAATAGTCTGAATGGTGATTTAATGGAAAAACTATCTCGCTTTTTGGACCCATAAAAGTTAAGATAATTTTGAACGCACGTAAATAGAGACTTGAGTTTTAGCTTTAATATAAGCAATTTACAGAAGCGATAAACGCACCGATGTGATTTTTCTTTAACAAGCAGTACTACAAAGAATTACTCAATATTTTGTTGCCATTAAAACTTTTAAAACCGGAATGATGTACAATCACAAATATGCTTTATAAAGCTACCAGCTAATTTCAGTTTTCTTTTACAGCAGACTCTCTGCTGGGTTCAGGGTCAGACGAGGAGGAGGAGGACGAGTCACGAGCCGCGAACAGCGCCAGCAGCCCCGCGCACGCCCCGCACCCTGCATTGCATCCTGATCTGGCGCACAACGGGGATACAAAGCCTCATGAAGACTCCGAAGACCAGGTGAGTTATTTACTTAGCTTGCAACTTCACTGACAGCGGTCATAGTGTCTTACTAGAACTCAGAGTGGTTACATTAAGGCAGTCCCTTAGCCTATATTTAATATGATAAATGTACGCTAAGAGACAGCTTTTGATTCTGTGTGAATGTAAAAATATGATGGAGTATTCTGTACATCTAGAAATAGAATTTCTTAATGAGGACAGTAACCTTTGAAATTTTTAAGCAACGAATATCAGGTGAAAATGTTTTAATATGTGAATTATCCGACTGAGATTAGATGTCTTCCTTCTAAAAAAGATATTGGCGACAGAACACATAGACCGATCCATTTCATAATCCATTTAAAAAAATGAATACAATTTTCTACTACAGAAGCAGGTCCTATATGACCATACAATATCGCGGATAAAGTCACGTGACCACATTGTCGCATTCAGTTGTATCTGTTCCTGTCCCAGGGCTCGTTAGACGGGGACCCGGAGACGAGGGACTCGCAGGCCGAGAACAAGTCACCTGACGACGGCAACGGAGGGTCCAAGCGACGCGGACCTAGGACCACAATCAAGGCGAAACAACTGGAAATACTCAAGTCCGCTTTCTCACAGACGCCGAAACCGACGAGGCATATACGAGAACAATTAGCGAAAGAAACTGGTCTGCCTATGAGGGTTATACAGGTTAGTTACAAATTATTTTATTTTCTTGAACACGATATTTACTGATGTCTTTCTTAATACTTAAGCCACCTGTTAAAATATATATCACGTGATTTTGTTGACTTTAAATTCTCAATCGTTGCTTGCACAAGCAATTAATTGTCGATTGTAGCAAAATACAAAAGAATATATTTATATCACCGATTAATTGTTTATTGATGATTAATTATTTAATGTAAATCTTTACATTCGCCTTTATAAAAATGTCAATTTTCTTATATAGCATAAAATTATAATTCCGTAGAACAAGTACAAAAGAATGCAAAAAAGATCAACAACATTAATCAGTTTATAATTTCATGTTTAAATTCTTTCGAGTAAAACTTGCAATTTATCAGACGACATAAAGCGTTTGCGCGGGAAGCGTAACGAATGGTCAATACTCCATCATGGCGGCCGGGGCCCAATCGTTCGCAAATTGAATAACGCGCGCAATCGTCCGGGAACGGTGTTGACAAGACAAATATTCTAATTAACTGGCGCATAGCGACTCGGTAGTGCTTTAACATTAATTTTTACAAATAAAAACAAGAATTTTACTAGCGCTTTCTTGAATTATAGTTTCAATTTCAATCCATAGACGATTTTTTTTCACCATAGACAAACTGCATGTTTTTTTTTTGCAAAAACTAGTGAATAAATAAATGTTTTCTCCTGTAACTATCTGTTAACCTAATAATTGTATCATTTCACTTTATCTCAAAAAGTTAAAAACATAATTTTAAGAAAAAAAAAAAGCGTAATGGCCGCTATTATATTTAATATGACAATCCTTTACTTCTATAGTTGCATTGAAATGAAAATTTATCTAATTTGCTATAGTATTGTGTATTGAGGAGTGAACTAGATCAAATTTGTTTCTAAAAACTGTATAACACGTGAATCCATGCAATTCTTCACACCGCTGCAACAGATGTCTGTTGCGCCGTCCGTCTGTCCGTCACGCTTTTTGCCTCTTTCCTCTTTGTTTCGCTTTTTGCTCCGCCGGCTTTCGGAAAGAAACAAAACGTTTTTACCTACGTGTAGCGGTCTATTTGTAGTTTACTTAGACATTTATTAATTAATCATCTGTGTGTTTCTTGCTGTTGTAAAAGTTTTATTAATAGCTCTCAATTTAACAATGCTAATTAACAAGACGGTTTCCAGTATGTTTTATGATTTTTTTTGACATTAATAGTTTTTTCTTGCTAACTATATGATTTTAATTTTTTAAAGTTATCTTTATCCTACTTCTTATCTTAGTAAAATTATAAATGCACATGTTTAGATGGATGGATGTTTGTTTGAAGGTATTTCTAGAAGGGCTAAACGGATCTCGCTGAAATTTGACATAGATGTAGAACATAGTTTGGGAGAACACATAGACTAATTATGTTTTTTAATTCGGCAAGGATGGTTTAACAGGTCGTCTAAATTAAAAATAAACAAATATTTTATGTCGGAAGAGAAATACATTTTTTATTCATTAGCGCATATTGAGTCAGTTTTAAATGTTCTTTAAAGAAGTAAGACTTCAGCATTAAATTAAAGGAAACCGTTATAGATATCAAATAAATTATCTTTAGTCTGAGCTAATTTTAATTTATAAATCATGTCGTTCTTCAACTTTGACTAATGTCTAAAACTATTTTTTAAGTTGAAAACCAAATTGCTAAGATTAATAAAAAATGGAATTTACTAACAACTCATGTTAAAAAAACCAATGGACTTATAACCTCAAATTTTAAGTTTTAAATAATATGGTCCTATAGATTTACTTTACCTGTCATTTTTACATTTAAAATTCAACAATAATAAGCATAACATAATAAGTGTTAATCGTGTTCAGAAGATTATATTTAATGAAAAAACTCACACAAAAGATCGTAAGTATGGTGTAGACAACAATATGTGGGCGGCGTAAGAAAAATATTTACTCTTATTATTGTGTAACATGCATCTCCAATAATGCTGGGCATGTTAAGTGGGTTCATAAACAACATTTTTTGTCACCATACGTCAAGTCCCGCCAGATCGCGCGTGTCAAATGTTTGTGCCACCACATGTGGTGTTGAATAACTGTTAACTGACTTTTTGTTCGTGCAACACGGTTATAACTAGTTAACACCGGTTCGTGTGAACGCTAACGCGATTGATGTCGCCGAATATCGATTTTCGAGCTGCCAGATGGCGAAAATCGATTTTCTACGCATTTTTTCCTTGTGCTTAAACTTTTTGAAACTTAACATTGGAAATTAGTTCCTTTTCATAATAACACAACAAACATACTTTATGAAATTACGAAAATCAATAAACATGAAAAAGCAGGTAAGAAAATTTTAAGTTCCATCGTCTTTTTCGGAATTAAATAAATTTTAAATAGAGTAGCTATCGAAAAAATGCAATATAATTATAACTATCCTCTAAAACCATTGAAAATCTTAAACCATTTAATAACTAGCAACTAAAACATAAATAAGCAATGTAGAACGCATCCGAACGTCAGTTCACCTTGACGTGGTGTCACCGGAGCGCGAAACAAGAGAAAAAATACCATAGACATTTTAATAAGTTCCTATATCGTAATTTCTCCCGCGTGACAGCCGCGGCGCTAGTGTCGTCGATGCAAGACGCCCTTTATTGACTCATATTTTATTTAGACAATATCTGTCGTACCGAAACTGTCGCTGTTGTCGATGGATATTTTAATTGATAAATGGGCATTCCGTTAAATCATAAAATACAAGCCTTTTAACTTCACTTTGACTCATATTTGAATTTACTTTTACAAAAGAACACTCATACGAACTGCGTATAAAATCGCAGTTTTTGCCTACAAAATAAAAAAATACAAGGCTTATATACTTTTACGTTTGAATATATCTCACGTAAATTATTATTATTAAAATAAATTGCAGTATCAAGTTCAAGTACAGTTAGCATTTATAATTGAAAACATGACCATCAATCATTCCTAATTAAATAGTTATAACAATTTGCTGTCATAGTTAGTTATAAAATAATAACTATTATAGTATATTTAAATCTTATCATTTTGTTCAACTGTAGTGTATTTGAAATTCATCTGGAGCTTTACTTAATGTTTTGCTTCTATTAACAATTGTAACAACTTTATTTTTATATGGAATTCGATGTTACATTCATCTAATCGTCATTATAAGTGCATATAAAATTCTGTCTTATTTTAAATAAACGGCAAAATGGTGGATGAAACTTAACATAGTATGGAAGAATATGCGCAACTAATAAAGTTATTTTTTAACTTTCGCGCGGGCTGAGTCTCTAGTGACAGCTAGTATTTAATATTTATAATTTTGCATAATCTTAGATGACATGATACAACTTAAAGTTAAATAAAATCGAGAAAGTAATTCCCACACGGAAGGCTAGCTTGATTTATAGCGACATGATAAAAACTGTTTGTCAGCTTACAGTAGACACGTTATTATGTCACCGCCGCCCGTTGAGTCGCGTCCTGATTAATGACCCAACAATATATAGTCTGTGGTGATTAAATGCCGCGACTTGACTGTGGTACAAGCCAATGTTGCAAATAGTAAAAATTTGCTAATAAAGTAATCCTTTGCCAGCTAAGATACTGCTTTTGTTTTTTTTTTCTTAGTTATTCTTTTGCTACAAAATACTGGCAACAAACTACTAACTTGCTGAAATTCTTAGTCCTCACTAAGGAACACTCTTAGTATAGATATTTCATAGTAAATTTAGATTAAAGGGGATCACTTAATGAGTCGATATGCGGTAGTTATTACTCTAGATGAAAAAATACAGTAGGAATTTTACTATAAACAAAAATCCTACCAATTAGTTTTATTCGATACGTGTAACGCGCAATCGTTCGTTAGTACCACACAAGCAGGTCAATTAAGCTTCCAATACGCGTCAGATGAGAGTTGAATGAGCAGTACATCGTCTCTCGCATGACCATATCTCATGTTTTTATATCCGTCGGCGACTTTGACTTGCCCCAAATACTATAACTTGTACGAGTTACGATGTTCGGACGGTCTGCCGCCGCGCCATCACGGCTGGTGACCGGTGTTGCCTGGTTCTACAGATTTTTGTAGTTTTCTCGTAATATAATATTGTCTTTATACGTTTATGTAACATACTTTTGTAATATTTTTTAAATAGGATTTTGAATTTAATTTGTCCTATTGAATCCTACATTTCTTATAAATAAATTATATTTTTCCAAAAAAAAAAAATTGTAGGTAATTACTCTGTCCGACATTTCATTTCATTTATAGTGTGTAAAATATGTTAAATGTGCATTTCACAAATATCTAATAGCCTAATTTTATATAGCATTTTAAAGTGAATAAAAAAGTTAATACAACGATCAAGTTAAATGCGTAAAAATCTCGTTTCTCACCAAACCTTTTGAATGCCAGTGTCATCGAACGTAAAATGTATTCAATGTTTTCGAAAACGATTATAGCCGCCGACCCGACTAAATGTGGAATCATCGAGTCCGCATTTCATCTAAAAACTTCATGTTATTACAATAAATTCGTAATTTTAATCGTTATTGTAACAAGCGTGGGGCATGCAAGAGACAACAATAAAATGTTCTGTTTACAGCCACATTTCGGCGGGAATCTCGTAAAATGCGCGGCGGTATGGCGCGAAACGGAATTAGCGTTGCCGTTTGACGTTTAGTGCGCGTTGGACGCAGAAAACAACTCGATGTCTATGCCCGTAGCTTTCCTCGGCGACAAATTTACTCTTGCGTTACAGATTTTATGCAAATCATATTATTTGTCTGTGGTTGTAAATAAATTATTATGTAGACCGACAAGGCTATCTGAACCGGCGGGCATAAGTCAAAACAAATTATGCTAACGTTAAGTAATCTCTCTCTTTTTCACCGACTCAGATATCTTTGTTTGACTTTCGTAATTGACCTTTCTCCAGATTTATTCTAAGGAATTTCAAATATC